CATGGACTCAAAATATAAATATTAATTCCACTGCTTTGGGGATCGCTGTTTAGCATATGAAACAGTTCTCTGTTGGGGCAGTCAATTTGTCAGTCAGCTTCTTTCAAAAGCCACTCAGCCTTTGATTGCAATCATTCAACACTTACTCTTCATTTCCTCAATTTGCCTGTGATCTCTGGCATTTCATTTATTTAATCAGAGCCAAGACTGAAGCTATTAGCCACCTATTCTGCAGCGCTGACAAAGTGGGAACAGAGTGAAACTACAAGTAAAGCTGAAAAAATGTCCAGGGACCTTAAAAATACACAAGACAAGACAGTAAAAATGCAAAAATGTGTGTGTTCAAGTAAGCAATGTGGCAAAATATGACCTATAACCTTTCCAAATCAAAACTACACAAGCAACAGTTTGACTCTAATGTAAGCACAGCGGCATAAAACAGGTGTGAACGGGTGTGCCTAATAAAATGAACAAGTTTATCATATAACAAGCAGGTTTAAGGCATAAATAAATTATAAATATAAAGTAAATAGAGAGTACTTTGTTTGCAAAGGAAGAATTCAGAACAAAACCATGATAGCTTCTTGTGGCTTAAGTATAATGGGCGTTATTACACTCAAAAAGCAACACAAATACAGACAATGTTATTAAATGATATCAACTGCAAGGCATCAGCTCCAAATCCCAACCAGTCTGTGAGCGTATACAGGCTTCAGGCGTACATGTCCGGGTGTGCTTGTATGCAAGAACAAAGGGAGAGAGAAATGAGCAGCCACAGACCGTCAGAAGTGGGAATGAAACAGTGCAGGTGTAAGTGGACGAGGTTTTAGAGCTAAGTGGAAAAGTTTGGATTCCTGTGAGACTGTTTTTATATCTCCTTTCAACACTAGAGTCAAAATACCAAAGCAGCGATCCATGACTTGTTAGTAAAAGGAAAGATAGACAAGCATACCAAATCTGATGTGAAACCACTTCACAGCGAGAAGAAAAGAAAACACTCAAAAGTTTGATTTAGACGCTAAATCGTTAATCAAAATTGCATTGAAGATACAATATTGAAAATCTAATAGCACAAAGTACTAATGCTCTTTTTCTCTATATGCCATGTCTTTGTTAGTTTTCACTTGATCAGGCTTTGAAAATACTATACTAAGCACTGATAAAAGTAATTAACAGTGCAGGTGTGGCAGTTTGGCATATTTGTAAGTAACAAAATAATTAGAAATACCCCAAATTAAAAGCTAATGTTCAACTCTATTTTTAATATATAGCGTCCTGTTTGTTTAAAAGAAAATCAGCCACACAGTGTTTTCCATCATCTTGCAGACCACAACTGTTCAAATCGGCTAGCGACTGGTGCCATATTGAACAGCAGCATTGACGTCTGTCTGCTGCAATACAAATGCAAAGCTTGTTTTCCCTTCTTTTTTTTTCTTTTTTTTCTTTTTTTGGCCTGTCCCGTTTGGCTT